TGTTCTTTATCCACTTTTCTCCCAAGAACGATCGCACACACGGGACACGACACGTGTAATCCCGGGGCATACTGGGCCGACGTTCATCCTATCAGCGGCGCGTTTCATCCTTCCTTTCGTTTTAATTAATTTCACCCGCGGATCCGATCCGGACGTGTTGGCTGGCAGACGTCAAAACTGTTCAGCATCGCGAACAAAGTAAGCCTGCTGTTCGTGGCAGGCCGCCGCGTTCCACGGAAACAATCTGTCGGGGGAAAAGGCTGAAAGAACTGAGCGCGATAATCGGCCATAACAGGGCGCAACGACGATACACGGGAAATACAATTCTGTCGCGAGTTTTCGGTACACTTGTAATTTATTTCTTTGGTTCGTTCGCGTGGAGAGTAACGGAGAGGGGTGGTCGAATTTTCGATGGTTACGGACAGATGGGGAAAATTGAATTTAACGTGAAATTAAGGTGATTCGGGTGTGACGGGGACAATGGTCGTTGGTAAATCGCAAGTAAACTTCTACGTTATTTCTGATGTTACTGAAAGTGAGAAATCATGATTAAGAGGAGTTTATATGGTTTGAGGACATGTATCTGGTGATGATAAAAAGAAAATCACCCTACAGTCATGTTGAAGGTCGCTTGCATGATTTTGAAAAATGTCGATGACTTTGGAATGTTCTTCAAAGTGACATTTCATCGCTGAAACAAATAATTTCGATGTTCATTGTGAGCGAAACACTCTGTACAATGATTTACTAAATCCTCTTTTTATCTTTTTGTCAATGTTCTGAAAAGCAATGAAATTTCTCTTAGTTAGAATAATGGTACTATTGACAGATGAGTTCGTTTTCATTTTTAAACGATTGAATCTCGAGTTGCAACCGCGATACGATTGAAGGTTGATCATTTTTAATTGCAGAAATGGCGAAGTGGGATTCTGGATAATTTCGGGAGATAATTGAACCCTTTTTGGTTGCAGTCATGGTACGATTACAAGTTAAAATGGGATCCAAAGGAATATGGTGGGGTGGAGATGCTGCACGTGCCATCCGATCATATATGGAGGCCCGATATAGTTTTGTACAACAAGTAAGTAAACTAGCATTTGCCTCCTTCTACACGGCAATTACGTTAATATTTAGCCGGCGACCGCTTAATGGATCTAACTTTCGAGGAGAGCCTAAGAGATCGTCCGAGGATTTACTTGGCCAACTGCCACCGGTAATCTCTTAGTTTTGGAATTTTCATAACGTTGGGAACTCGATTTATCCTCCAACCATCCTATGAAATTCTATTGGTTGCAATTTCATTATCCTGTCGTCTTCTATCGGGAACGGGGGGTATAGCATTCGTCAGTGATCCATTTCTTATTATTTTATTTCTTAGTGGTTCTTCAAGAACTAAGAAGACATTTTTGAGTATCGAAATTCATACGTTAATGTGTTTTCTGCCTAACAAATTTAAGAGAAATAAAATATACCTATGTCGCGAGGAAATAAAGGGTGATTTATACTTTGCTTAGGGAAACTACACATTGCCTAAGCAATCAATGAAATAAAGTATGCTTCGTACTTTGATTAGGTAGACTATACATTGCCTAGGCAATCAAAATTCACCCAGCAATTTATGAAATAAAATGTGCTTCATACTTTGCTTAGGTAAACTATACACTGCCTAATCAATCAAAATTCACCCAGCAATTTATGAAATAAAATGTGCTTCATACTTTGCTTAGGTAAACTATACACTGCCTAATCAATCAAAATTCACCCAGCAATTTATGAAATAAAATGTGCTTCATACTTTGCTTAGGTAAACTATACACTGCCTAATCAATCAAAATTCACCCAGCAATTTATGAAATAAAATGTGCTTCATACTTTGCTTAGGTAAACTATACACTGCCTAATCAATCAAAATTCACCTAGTAAATTATGAAATAAAATAAGAAGACATTTTTGAGTATCGAAATTCATACGTTAATGTGTTTTCTGCCTAACAAATTTAAGAGAAATAAAATATACCTATGTCGCGAGGAAATAAAGGGTGATTTATACTTTGCTTAGGGAAACTACACATTGCCTAAGCAATCAATGAAATAAAGTATGCTTCGTACTTTGATTAGGTAGACTATACATTGCCTAGGCAATCAAAATTCACCCAGCAATTTATGAAATAAAATGTGCTTCATACTTTGCTTAGGTAAACTATACACTGCCTAATCAATCAAAATTCACCCAGCAATTTATGAAATAAAATGTGCTTCATACTTTGCTTAGGTAAACTATACACTGCCTAATCAATCAAAATTCACTTAGTAAATTATGAAATAAAATATGCTTCATACTTTGCTTAGGCAAACTATACACTGCCTAGGCAATCAAAATTCACCCAGTAAATTATGAAATAAAATGTGCTTCATACTTTGCTTAGGTAAACTATACACTGCCTAGGCAATCAAAATTCACCCAGTAAATTATGAAATAAAATATGCTTCATACTTTGCTTAGGTAAACTATACACTGCCTAATCAATCAAAATTCACCCAGCAATTTATGAAATAAAATGTGCTTCATACTTTGCTTAGGCAAACTATACACTGCCTAGGCAATCAAAATTCACCCAGTAAATTATGAAATAAAATATACTTCATACTTTGCTTAGGTAAACTGTACATTGTCTAGGCAATCAAAATTCACCCAGTAAATTATGAAATAAAATGTGCTTCATACTTTGCTTAGGTAAACTATACACTGCCTAATCAATCAAAATTCACCCAGCAATTTATGAAATAAAATATCATAAACTATTGCTTAGCCAAACTATACATTCCCCAGACTTTCCACTTGACCGGTAACATATTTACATCTACAGCGATCAGAGATCTTTCCACTTGTTGTAAAAATATTTAAAAAAATTTATATCGCCTCCATTGATGCACAATTTTTAAGGAGACTTAAAATCCACTTTTCCACTTACTTCCCCCGACGTTCAAAGGATCGATCTTCCGTTTTGTTGTTGAAACAGTGCCGACGGTAATTTCGAGGTGACGCTGGCAACGAAGGCGACGCTGAATTACACAGGGAGGGTCGAGTGGAAGCCACCGGCGATATACAAGTCTTCCTGCGAGATCGACGTAGAATATTTTCCGTTCGACGAGCAGACGTGCGTCATGAAGTTCGGCTCGTGGACTTACGATGGCATCCAGGTAACGATCCCCTTCCATTTTCTCCTCACGTTTTTCTCCTCGCTCTCCGACAACTCAGGTTCCTCCTAGCCGGACAAGTTTAACAGGGTGTTAAAATTTCAAACAGCAGGTAAAGAAAGAGAGTTTCTGAAAGTTCTGTTAAAAAAAAATAGCTAACTTTCTTCGTTCAGGTGGAAAAAAGAAGAAAAAAAAAAAACAGAAACGAGACCCTCTATAATGTTCCTCGAAAAAATTAAATTGCAATTGAATCTTGAATAAGTTGGAAATTCTTCCAAGCATGCTCACTGGCTTACACTCGTCGAGGGAGTTTGGGCTAAGATTATAGGATCAGCAACTTCCAAACTGAATTCCTCTGTAAACAATTTATAAAAAGCCCCTCTCGTTCCTATCCGTACAATATTTTCCTTCTTTAGAAGACCGTCTTTTCCAGCGATGCTTCCTCGGCGGGCATCCGAAAAAATGAGGATAATATTTTGCATATCGAGATGACAAGAGAAACACTTCGAACAAGGACCGTCTATGCGATGTACAGGGTGTCTCAGTTGTAACGAACGTTTAAACTATTTCCACTGGTATTGAAAATAATAAGAAACGATATTAAAATCACTTTATGCGTTACGAAGATGCAAATCTAGCGATAATAAGAAAATTTCCCTCAAAATCCTTTTAAACGAAGCTCATTCATAGATCTTTTCGTAGATCATTAAAATTCGTCTGAAGAACAGATATTGAAATGGAAAACGAAAGGAAAGTAAGATGAAAGAAATGTCGATGGCCTTTAAATGACTTTAAGAATGATCGAAAGAGGATTTCTCATTTATCATCGCCAGATATATTTCTTGAAAGCATCTAATCGCTTCTTATTCATTTTTCAACGCCAACGTAGGTGATTTCCAATCGAGACACCCTGTACATGACAGAAACAGCCCTCTGCAACACTGATACAATCGAGTTCGCGGTAGAAAACACGGAAGATACGTGTTCGATGACGTCGAAGCACGGCGGTTGAAAGCGTAGATCGTTCGGTGTGATGAAAAAGCTTCGAGAGGGCAGAAATTAGATTAAGAAAGTGGAATTAACGGGGCGAGCGCGAAGCTTTCGCAGCTCGTGAGAGCCGGGCATTTGTTTATTTGCATGTTATTGCTCGCCTCTAACGAAAAGCTTATCACTATTCATGAGGACGCGGCCGCGGATGTGCGCCGAATGAAACGCACATAAATTTCCAATGATTAATATCTCGCCCATGCGATACACTGGCCTGTTTATTATACGCCGCCGTGCTTTTTCATGCGACGTCGATTGCTTCCGTGATCGGTGACGTTCCCTTGCTTTATTTCCGCCCTCTTCTGTCTCTTTTTTAGCGGTTCGTGTGGTACCAATTGAACACCGTGCGAAACGGCGAATGAAAATTGAGATTTCAGAGGAGACGTGATTTTTAGAAGTTAGAGGATCTCTTTTTGGCCTCTTTGCTCGCGGAAGAATAGCGAGAGGCGACGGGAATAGCGATTTTCAGACGTTAGAGGATCCTTTTTGGAGAAAGAGTAGCTTTGTTTGATGGACAGTTTTCAGGATAATAGGAGAATCGAGGAAGAAGATTTTAGATCCACAGTCGTTCTTTGTTAATTTCTATCAATTTTTCATAGAAACATTACTAAAAATAAAATGAAATATTGCTAAAAATACAACGAATATTTCAGAAAAGAAAAGAAACCCGTGAAGATTCTAATAATCCTGAAAACACGATCCATCATCATTTGAAACAACAAAAAAAAAGAAGAAAAAAGAGAAAGAACCGTCTAGCGACCTTCTCTGTTCGGCATCGTCATTTAAAATCCATTAAAGCGAGCCTTAATGAAAGGAGGGAAAAAAGTTGAATCTCCGTGTCGTTGTAGAAAAAAATCGCAGGATCATCGAACCAAGGTGGAATTCACGTGCAACGAAGCCACAAGTGGACAGGGGTGATCGTTTCGCGTCATTATTCCTGGACGATTGTCGTGCAACAGCGCGAGTAGTATCGCGTAAAATATCTATACGAGTCGATGAATAATGCATGGCTCGTGTGCGTGTGGTATAACGCGTTGTCCATGCGTCATCAAGCCGCGACGCTCGGTTATCCATCAGGTTCGTTTAATAAGAAGCACATACCGATCGATCAGCTTTATACACGGGATACGAAATGGACATTCCGTGAAGGATGATTACGTGAGACGCTCTTAACGATCGGTTGATCGTGTGTAGTTTGTTTCGTAGGTAACGTGACAGTTAACGAGGGAGTATCTCGAAGAGGGAAACACCGATTTCGATGAAATTTTGTGGTATTATAGTACTCGAAAAAATATTCGACACGTATATTTTTATATCGACTAAGATCCACGATGAAGGGGTGAAAATTGAACTCAAAGTTGAGACAATTGTGTGTATTCTCTTTCGTAAGTAACGAGACAGTTAACGAGGGAGTATCTCGAAGAGGGATTCACCGATTGCGATGAAATTTTGGCGTATTATAGTACTCGAGTCAATCGTGTGTATTCTCTTTCGTAAGTAACGAGACAGTTAACGAGGGAGTATCTCGAAGAGGGAAACACCGATTTCGATGAAATTTTGTGGTATTATAGTACTCGAAAAAATATTCGACACGTATTTTTTTATATCGGCTAAGATCCACGATGAAGGGGTGAAAATTGAACTCAAAGTTGAGACAATTGTGTGTATTCTCTTTCGTAAGTAACGAGACAGTTAATGAGGGAGTATCTCGAAGAGGGATTCACCGATTGCGATGAAATTTTGGCGTATTATAGTACTCGAAAAAATATTTGACACGTATTTTTTTATATCGGCTAAGATCCACGATGAAGGGGTGAAAATTGAACTCAAAGTTGAGACAATTGTGTGTATTCTCTTTCGTAAGTAACGAGACAGTTAACGAGGGAGTATCTCGAAGAGGGATTCACCGATTTCGATGAAATTTTGGGGTATTATAGTACTCGAAAAAATATTTGACACGTATTTTTTTATATCGGCTAAGATCCGCGACGAAGGGGTGAAAATTGAACTCAAAGTTGAGTCAATCGTGTGTATTCTCTTTCGTAAGTAACGAGACAGTTAACGAGGGAGTATCTCGAAGAGGGAATCACCGGTTTCGATGAAATTTTGGGGTATTATAGTACTCGAAAAAATATTCGACACGTATTTTTTTATATTGATAATTAGACACTGTGAAGGGGTGAAAATCGAACTCGAATTTGAGTCAATCGTGTGTATTCTCTTTCGTAAGTAACGAGACAGTTAACGAGGGAGTATCTCGAAGAGGGATTCACCGATTTCGATGAAATTTTGGGGTATTATAGTACTCGAAAAAATATTTGACACGTATTTTTTTATATTGATAATTAGACACTGTGAAGGGGTGAAAATCGAACTCGAATTTGAGTCAATCGTGTGTATTCTCTTTCGTAAGATACGAGGGAATATCTCGAAGAGGGAATCACCGGTTTCGATGAAATTTTGGGGTATTATAGTACTCGAAAAAATATTTGACACGTATTTTTTTATATTGATAATTAGACACTGTGAAGGGATGAAAATCGAACTCAAAGTTGAGGATGAAACACACTAAAAATTGTCAGTGAATCGGAAGCGAAATTTAAAAAATGATTAAGATCTATATAAGATTATTCGATTCCTCAGACAGTGACAGATATCCGGTGTTTCTTAAAAATTGGATAGAAATTGAGATTGAGTATCTTTCGGACAGTGACAGATACTTAGAGAAAATAAAGAAACTCCGCCTAAATTTACTGGATCGAAATTTCACGCGATTTTCATGGAAAAAGTTTGATATTTTTTAAACGACACGGTACGGTTGAAATTTTCAATTGGAACAGCGAGGTTTAGAGCGTGAATTCACGCAGAATCTCGGTGTTTCGCCTCGAATCGCTGTCTCGAAGGAATAATCGAGGATTTCGGCGCAGTTGCGCCGAGGGAATCTCGTTAACTCCGACTTAACGGGCAGAAATGGACGCAAATATCAGGAACATCGAGTGGCATTCCATCCCTCAAGTGGATCAAACCCATCCGCCATAATGCTTCGCGTTTCCTCGATTAACCAATTGATACGTTCTGTTTTCGCGAAATTATATCGTTCGATCGATTAAGCATCGTTCAAGTAACGATTAAACTACCAATTTATATCTCTGCTGATAAAAAACAATCGACAGTGATGATAAAAAAAACATTTTCAATATCTACTTCAATTACCGATACAAAACTGTTCGATATGAAAAAATTCTCACGTTTGAAAAATGTTATTTCAAAAAAAACTGTAACTCGTACTTGAGCAATTTTTCAATTATCCTTACACCGGAAGTGCCTTCAGCTGCCACTTCAATAATCAACAAAACTCTGTTCGGTATTAAAAAATCTTAGACTTACGAAAAATCGTCATAAAGAAAATAATAACTCATATTTAAGTAATATTTCAATTACCTTCAAACTTCAAGTGTCTCTCTTAACACGTTCGCTGCCACCAGAATATCGACAGCACACTAAGCAATAGCTTCTGAACTGCACACGCTGCGTCGACGACAGCGAGCCTGTTAAACCGCAAATCTCCATAATTTTCGAAATTTCTCAATCGAACGAAATTCACAGGTCGATCTTCGACACATCGACGAGATCCGTGGCAGCAACGTCGTTGACATCGGCGTCGATCTGTCGGAGTTCTACACTTCCGTCGAGTGGGACATCCTCGAAGTCCCAGCCGTGAGGTAAGTTCTCCCCCAGGAATCCTCCTAAACTCCTTTCCTACCGTACGTTTCCCTTCCTCCGGCCAATTCTCTCGCGCGTTTTGCTTGGAAATTTGCTGTGAAAAACGGAAGCATAATCGGTCTAACGAAATTTCTTGCCAACGTTTCTCTCAAATTTTCTGTCTGTGTGTGTGTGCATACACGTTTCGAATGAAGAACAGAAGGGGAATGCGTTTTGAACATGTGTTGTTATCCTGGTTGTCTCGTTTACAGGAATGAAAAGTTTTACACGTGCTGCGAGGAGCCTTACCTCGACATCACGTTCAACATCACCATGAGACGGAAGACCTTGTTTTACACCGTCAACCTTATTATACCGTGCATGGGCATCTCGTTTCTCACGGTGTTGGTCTTCTACCTGCCAAGCGACAGTGGCGAGAAGGTGAAGGATTTACCAGAGTTTAATCAAATCTTCTCTCCCTTCGATATTTCTTATTATTTTCATACTTCTCATCTTTGTTTTTTAAACCGACGGATCAGCTGTGAATTTTGCGATATGTAACGCCAGTGGCGAGAAGGTGAAGGGTTTATGAGACTTTGATCAAATTTTCTCCTCCTTCGAGGTTTCTTCGAAAATTTTTAGTTTTTTGTTACTTTCCTACTTCGAATCTTTTCTTTTTTTATTTGCGGATCAGCTGTGAATTTTGCGATATCACGCCACGTGGCGAGAAGGCGAAAGATTTATGAGACTTTGATCAAATTTTCTCTTCCTTCGATATTTTTTACCTTATTTTCATATTTCTAATCTGTTTTGTAATAATGCGTTAACCGCTTGCCTCGCGATTTTTCACTGACCGTACGTCGCAATGGTGATATTGTGACAGAACATAATTTCTATTTAACAATCCTCAGACTCGTAAATTCTAACTACAATTAAAGCTAAAATTGAAGTTTACTGCAGAGAAAAACGATGAGCAAACGAAGGGGTTAAGCTCTGAATGAAAATATATCATCGGCGAAGAAATTAGAAATTTTGGAAAGAAGAGAAAAATTCGTGAAGGAAGTGAAAATTTTTGTTAAACCAATTGAATTTACTTTATTTATTCTAACGTTGATAGATTAATCGATGGAAAAATTTCAGTACTCCAAGGTTTTCGGATTAATTGAAAATTTGTAAGGTCACGCATAGCGTGAACCGCGAATTCATTGGGCAGCACGGCTCTTAAATTACACCGTGAGGCATGGTCGATCGTTTCAAGCGATTTACGAGCAGGGAAAAGTTGCCCGCGAGTTTAATATAAGAACCGCGGCGTCGCGAAAGTGTATCGATAAATTTGGCCGTTGTACGGCCGATTCGAGAGGAAAGTAAAGCCAATAAAGGATATTAAATTCGTCGCGGCTTCACGGCATCAACTGGCCACCATTGCGACGCACCGTCTCCATTTTCTCTTCCTTTTGTGCAATCTACCAAACTTATTCCTTCCAATTTTTCAGCGATGCATATCGTCCGCGTGAAATTTTTATATATAAAACACACGAAAATAGAAATTTGGAGACTTTCTCCAAATCTGAAACTCACGGACACCTCGAAATTTGCAATTTCTAATTGACACACATTATCCGTGGAAATGTTCAAATACGAATCAGAAAAATGAAAGAATTCCCTGGAAATATTATAAAAAATTTATGCGAAAAGAGCATTTTTCGGTAAAGCACGATTTCTAAAGGAGAAAGTCTCCAAATTTGAAACTCACCAACACCTCGAAATTTGCAATTTCTAATTGACACACATTATCCGTGGAAATGTTCAAATACGAAACAGAGAAATGAAAGATTTTTTACCAAATTGAATTCTTCAAAAACATTACAAAAAATGTACCTATATGAAAAGAGTATTTCTCAGCGAAGCGTTATTTCTACCGGAAGAAAGTCTCGAAATTCGAAACTCCGGATTTCCTCGAATTTTCCAAGAAACGAATCTCGAAGATTTCTCAATTTTTTCAATCTCGCTAATTCGCCAGCTGAAACGACAAACAGAGGGGTTGATCGTTGGAAAATATATTCGCGGTGTATCGCGGGCGGGATTTCGCGGAGAGTGGAAACTCGTTCGATCAGAATTCCCCGGCTGGAGAGGGTCAAATATCAAAATCCAGCGTAGGAATGCAAACCTCTAAATGCCGTTCGGCCTCCATTCCTGGTGGACTCTTGACCTCGAGCCGATACCCACTTGACGCCGTGTGCGCCTCTATAATTCAGTCGTATTGTTCTGGCTCGAAACACCCGACCGAAAGGGTAAAGGAAACGAAGGGAAAAGGGGAAAAAACGGGGAGAAGGTCAGATGTCAGCGTGCCATCCGCAGCTGCTCATCGACACTTTCGTTCGTTCGCTAAAAAAAGGCGCTCTCCTCGGTCGCGACATTTCCTGTTTAACCCTTTACCTCGCGATTTTTTTCTTTAACAGCTGTATCTCTTACGGTCACTTTAAAGTGATCGTTTAAAGGGATCGTTGAACTCGTCTTAAAGTTTGCTACGACGCAGTGATAAACCTGGAGGAACTTTTTTTTGTGTCATTGATACACGGTGTCTCCCAGAGATATTAGGACACTCTTTGGAACAGCGTTAACTTTTTTTAAATTAGACGCAACGACTTGAGTTTTTTTTTTTGAGAAGATAGGATTGGTATACTAGATGACGTATACGAAGAAAATTTTCTTCGCGATTTTTTTTTAATTTTTTGGACAGGTCACGTAGTATGCCAATCCTCCTAGCTTCTCGTAAGAAGTCAAGCCGTTTGGTCCGAACTTTGAAAAAGTTACGATGTTCTAAAGAGTGTCCGAATATTTGTGGAAGTCACTTCTTTCTTAGTCTTATCTGTATCCAGACTAGTCACCAACACTGGACTCTTCACCTTCCAATTCTTCGTTCGACTCTCCTACACAGTTGTAACCCAAAGTTCATCTTCCTCAAACCTTTAAATACCCATCCTCGATTCATTCTCTGCACTGTCATCCGATTTAAGCGTTACCCCGATACGTGCCCTCAGTTTCGACAAAATTCAAGTAAAACCGGGCATCACAACACGTCTTGAACCTATAGAAACTTCTCTCAGTCGTTATCTCTCACTTGCCATGCCAGTGAAAATAATTGAAACGTTCGTCACATACGAGACACCCTCTATATCGTATTAACAAACGTATCTCCTCCTCAACGAGTCCTCACTTCTTCATCACCAATGTCAACACATTCTTGGAACCTTCTCCAGGTGGTTTCCACAGCCCTCAGGCACATCTCTTTCTCTCCACAAGGGTTAACTCTTTTTCGACACACCCTGTACTATCTTCCACAGAATTTTACAAACACACACACACACACACTCTACTGTCGTATTATCAACGATTATTTTACTGAACAATCATTCACGATACTTATCGATAATATCGAAGCGCAGCGTACCAAGTATTTTTCTCTCTTCCTCCTTAAAGCACACTTCATCTCGACGTCAGTTTATTCCCCCTCGACGAGGTTTATTCTCGACGTAGGATACGACAATGTCGAAACTACTCTTTCCACCGGGGACGGAAAAGGGGGGCGGAGGAGGGCAGAAAAATTTCGCGGAGAATCCGGTTTGAAAAGGGCAATCGCGACAGAGAGCATACGGGGGAATCCCGGCTTGAACGTTAAATCTGCTGGCTACTTTAGATGAATGCTGCCAGGCCTGGCGAAACAATGCCCCCTCGAATCGGGCTTTGTTCTTCGTTTCTCGTTTGCCTACTGATTTCAAACCTACACCGTGTGCCAGCACCCACCTATCGCACAAATATACCCGACGTCGTCTCGCGTTCCTACACCACACCCCCTTCCCTCTATCGTCGCGTGTATCGCCTGATCGTGTGCACACGCTATCGCGTATATATCTGAAAACTTGCCGGCTACTTTTCAAACGAAATCAACCTCGTTTGGACGTTGCTGCATTCAACGACGAACGTGGGTGTGCTTCTCATTTCTTTGAGATAATGCTCGAAAGAGACCTCGAGATAACGTTGAATATGTGAACCCTTTCGATGAATATGAGCTTCCTTCTTGAATCGTTCGATCGAAAAATCATGACTTTCAGTCGGACATGGGATTTTCCACGAGGATTTTCAACGATGGTAGGGACTTTTGCGATGTGGCGGTGGTAACCGATGCAGTGTCGACGGTGGCACACGGTGGAAGTCATTCTGTGTCGACAGTGCTTCGACGTTGACGGCGAAAGTGTTTAATCCTTTGAGATTGGAAGCTGGAAAAAAGAATTCATGTATGAGTTTTAAGACTGCAATGGTTTTTGAGTGTTTTCGATCTTTCGTGACAATAAGCAATTGCTAGAAACGCTTTTCGAGGAATATCGGGAGTTTCGTGTTTTCCTATAGACCTCTCGTTGATTGGAATTATTCTCGCTCAGCAAACAAGCAACGTGAATCCAATTAATTTTCGCTACAAAAAACCCAATAAACGAAATTCGTACAAGTAAATTTTTGCGCGTTGATAAAAGATTTATGTGTTTCTTTTTTTTTTTTTTAATTTGAAACAGCTTTAGCGGGAATTCGAAATCCTCGCTATCGATTCGCTGGAGAAAAAGAGATAAGGGAAGAAACTTGTCTGGTCGAAGGCTGTTAAAGCTTGCGTTCCCTAATTGGTATCCAATTGTACGCGTGTATAAGGATGATTTGGCTGATACTACAGGGAATGGCACGACCTTAACACGTTTCGAAATACAATACTGCGTCACGAGCGAATGAAAGGAGCGTTTTGTTCGTCGCACTTAACCTCGAGGGTTCTTCTTTTGTCTCTTTGTGGCGGACTCACTTTGCTCGAGAGCATGCCCTTCAAATTCTGAATCGAATCGGAACGTTGTCTTCGATTGTTCTGCGTCATATTTTCCCCTTTTTTTACTTTTCTTTTCTTAATTTTCTACTCCCTCGACATTTCACACCTTAATTCGTGCTTGTTTGATTACAGGTCAGCCTATCAATTTCGATTTTACTGTCGCTGACTGTGTTCTTCCTCCTGCTGGCCGAGATTATCCCGCCCACGTCGCTCGTGGTACCGCTTCTCGGTAAATTCGTCCTTTTCACCATGATCCTAGACACCTTCAGGTATAAAAACACATTAACATTGTATTCTAATTTTTCTGTTTTTCATAATTCAAAGTTCAAACGTTGTGTTCGATGATAAAAGACACTGTGGTGAAGTTTTACAATTAAAATTGAGGATTGTATACGTTTAATCTTGTTAATTAACGTTTGTCCGTTACCGATAAAGTGGTTCTCTAATGTAACATCTATTTTCAGTATATGCGTAACCGTGGTAGTCCTCAATGTTCACTTCCGGTCACCACAGACGCACGTGATGGCACCGTGGGTCCGTCGTGTTTTTATCCATGTTCTGCCAAGACTACTGGTGATGCGCAGGTATAATACGTCTTCGAAGAGAACCGATTACGATTCCAGGCAAGATATGATTCTACCGAGCATTTGGACCAGCCGTTGGGTCTATGCCAAGCAGCATTAGAACGTTCATTAGTGGCCTCGCACGTGACGTTAGTGTCACGTCGTGTCTGCAACCATTAGCACAACCTTCTCTTTCTCCCTGTCTCTCTCTCTCTGTCTATCTCTCTATCTATCTATCTCTATCTTTATCCACCAGAATATAGAATTGAATTTGTATATCACCGATGTCCACTTTCGTCCAAATTAGAAAAGAATTCTGTAATAAATTATTGACAATGATTTTTGTATTAACCATCAATGTACAGAAAGTGAAGCTTGTCTGGAAAGTAAAGATGCATTGTATCTAAACTACTGTGGAATTTTTTTTTAAGTGTGGTGGCTATACTGACTTAAACTCTTTTGACAGGCTGAGACTACACTTTGCTAGAGTATATTATGTGAGAAGTCTTAGGGTATGTGTTCATTTGAGGGTAGAACTCTGGAGAGTGAAATTTATCAGTGTACTTACACAGTATTGAGAGTGCTGTAGGAGAACTGGTCACGCAATTTTAAGGTACTCACAAGAGTGACTTAAAGAACTCTCAGATGGATAGGTACCCTTAGAAATGATTGAATCTCCCATCATGATAATACTTGCTCGACTTGCTCTACTTCGCTAGACAATTTCTCATGAGAAATTTTCACCTTGCACTCGTTGTCAGTGATTTTCATCAGTTCTCTTATCTAAAAAAAGAAAGCAGCTGTTAGAAAGATTTTATGGACTTTGTATCTTTACTTTCCGCCCAAGCTTCGTATACAAATGCGAGGAAGATAATTTGCACGAAGGGGCGGTGATTGGAAATTTTCAGATCCACTTAACCTCGTTCAAAACGATTGGAATCCTGCACAATTAACCACTGTAAATGCTATAAAACACGGTAGCTCGACAGTTCCATGTTATACAACGTTACAACTGCACAATTCAGCACTACCGTTCGAAGTAGCACCTTGTTGGAATTTTCTATTCACCATTTGCAAAACGTGTAACGCTCTCAGACAACATCGATCTACGATCTGTGTCCATCGACATGCTTGATACCATCGCCATACGAACAAAATCATATATCGCCTGTACAGACGAAGTATCATTACAGTATTGTGATAGCATAGAGCCGTAGTTTCACAAGCTTGAAAAATTTTTATTTCCATAATACGTCAAGTACGACGTTCACTTCAGATTTCAAATTCAATTGCTTGTACATGTCGCCAGTGTAAATATATATATATTTAAACAGACTCCAGAGATATGTGTACCAATTACTTCAATTAGATGTTACAGCTTTTGTACTACAATCGTATCGTTAGATAAATAAGGAGTTTTCAAACTGATAATATACAAGATATTTTGTATTTGTCATTTCATTCAGTCCGAATAGTCTGCGCTCTCGATTGTAATTGTAATCTTTTTATGGTTATTCGAACAGGCCGCAATACCAGATAGACAAACGTAGCATGGGTGGCCATCACGGGCAGCGAGTGATGGTCAGAACGTGCAACGGTCTCGAATTACGGGATCCATCTCTGTTCGTGGAGACCTCGGCCTCGGAGCTGGTTGAATCCTCCGTTCTATTCCCGAGTCTCGATTCGCGGGACGAATTACACCCTCGGTACGTATAAAATCCACAAATAGAATTTCTAAAAAAAAAAGAAAAGAAGAATTTCTTACGCTTTTAATTAAATAAAAATCTACATGTTAATTAGGGAATTGGAACCGGTGAATTTAGGAAGCGCGTGTCGCATTCATGGCTCACCAGCGACCACGGCTGCTCCTCCACCGCAACTGCCGACAGAGGAGAGCGTGGACGCTCTCTGTAACACGCTTCATCATTGGCATCACTGCCCAGAACTGTACAAGGCCATCGAAGGCATTCGTTTCATTGCCGATCATACGAAGAGGGAAGAGGACTCCACCAGAGTACGACAATCTTTATTGTTCCCCTAAAAAAAAAAAAGGAAATTTGTTAGAAAAAGAAGTAGTAAATATATGAATAATTTTGTAAATTGAATAAAAATGATTTGATTTGGATCCTCCAGGTTAAGGAAGATTGGAAGTACGTCGCGATGGTGCTCGACAGGCTATTCCTGTGGATTTTTACGTTAGCCGTGGTAGTCGGCTCGGCGGGGATCATCCTGCAGGCGCCAACGTTGTACGACGATCGTATCCCCATCGATGTGCGACTGTCCGAGATCGCCTCCACCACTGCCAAGCCACACATCGTCACGAGCCTCTGAGAGACAATTGTTCAATTTCGTTTACCTTTCACGTACAACGCATGCTCACTTACAGACACTCACAACATACACAGATACCGATATACGATACACACGTTCTACATACACGTATAATACATATACAATGTAATACACGACAAACGTTAAGGACAAATATAAGAAAAAAATGAAATTGCGTTCACGTTGACCAGGGACTCTTTGCGAAGAATACCCACGTGCTGTCAATCATTTCGATGGTATTTATAGGTTGTACGGAGAAGTCTGTTAGAGTTAATCGACACTGGTAACTTCCATACGCCATTTTTGCTTGATCCAAAGGGACTGATATTATCGTTAAATATATCTCTAGTCCTGAGTCGTTGAAACAGTTGTACCTCTGTCGTTTGGATCTGGATTAATTATCCGGTGTCAGTTGTTTGATTCACACAAGAATCGGTTCCGATGTTCCTTTTTCGTTTGAAGGATTTATTCATTTGTAACACGAGGATTATTAATCGTGCGTATTCGTATAGATCTTGGCTAAACGTATCCAAGCATTATTTGGTATTCTCGCGATCACGAACGAATTAGAGGTTTCTCGTCCCTGGTGTTAACGACTGAGAAAGACTGAAGCCTCGGCGAGTCTTCGACTTTTCGCGTGAATTAAACGACTAATGGCCAATTAAAAATGCTGTTTGCCTGCTCAAGGCGAGGATTTTCAAAGCATACGCACACGAGCGGCCAGAACGTAGGGATAAACAAATAACGACGGTGAAGAATTTTCACTCTCTGGGTGTTAACGAAAATGTGTACGATTTTTCGTTTAACTGCGTTTCCATTTCTACTTGTTCAATAGAACATTTTTTAACGGCTCAAACCTTCCTTCGTCGAGGGTCTTATTGTTAATTCACTCTTTGTTAACACTCGGAGAGTTTTGTTGTAAATCCTCATGGTGCACGTGGACGAGAGTTAAATGAAACGGAAGTGAAATGTAATAAAACATATATCTTAACCTCTGATATAACGTAGAAAGTCATATTCGTAAGAGCATTGCATTCAGTTTCTTTCATTTGTATCTAGAAACGATAAAGTAGTAATTGCAGAGGATAAGAAACATGTTTTTACATCGGTACTGAAAGCAGGCGAATTCCGGCTCATGGTTTTATTATTAATATTGCGAACGAACGAAAAATGTGTAGAGAAAACAGGTTGTCAAAACATGTGCACAACGTAGAATTAATACGAAGAAACCTGAAAAAGGGGTTCAATTTTATGCCAGTTGCATTCACGGTACAATTGTGATTCTTCCGGAGAATAAATTGACAAACGAATTATATTCGAGGTTATCTCCAAGGACGATCGAGAACATTGATAATAAGAAAAAGAATTACATAAATATGGACATTAATTTTTTATGTTCCATCTAATGTTCCGTCAACTTTGAAGACCGCCACGAAAAAACACAATTTTTCCATTGAACCGCGTTTAAAGTGTTCTTGCGGCACGTCGTACGCAGCGAACAAAAAAAAATAAATCGCGAAGAAAAAAAATGGGACCGAAGCGTTATATTTTACACACAGCATAGTTTCCACTCGAAACGAGTTTTAAAACGGAGAACGATAAACGACGAACCAAGCTAATTGTAAAAATCACGAGAAGAAAGGATCACAATCATTGATGTAGATGGCATGGAATTCAACGAAGCCTGTTGCAGACTCAGGAAGAAAATTAAGGCAAGAAAGAAGAATATTGAACAATTTCCGAAATTTACATCGAGCCTGTAACAATGGGGCCATATTTTCACAAAATAAAAAAAAGAGAGAGAGAGAAAGAATGGTGGAAAAAGGCGCGTGTCTCTCTATTTGCGAGGCTGTTAATTCTAAATATCTCTGCATCCACGTAATGTGCGCATAATGGCGCAAAAGGGAGGAGGAAACCCGTTGGGCCTAAGAAAGTTTCACCGACTCAACTTTTATTGCTCATAATACGTAATATGTTCGTAATAAGGTACACTTTCGTAATTGTATTCGTTCCAGCACCACTGACGAACCGTGGGACGTTTGTTGGACATTTTTAAAACGGCGTGCACGAAGAGAGAGAGAGAGAGAAGAAAACGAGGTGAAACGTACGGGAAAAGAAAAATATAAACGATATAACTGTTTATTATCGCGTTTCAAATAATTTACTGTCTTCCTATGCTACGAAATTACGATTTACTTTCGACGGGCAGAAGTCACGTGTTTATTGTTGTTCCCGCCAAACGAACATGGCGAAGATAAACGAAAAAAAAAATAATAAAAAAAAGTGGAATATAAGTAGAGCCTGATTGGTAAATTACTAGTTAAGTATATGTGAGTAGCCAGGATTTTACGTCTTAAAAAGTGAAGCAACGATCTGCTGCTTGAGAAAAAAACCCTTTTCGACGATATTCTTTTTGGCGCCGATCGTAGAGTTTTCGGTCAGTCCTACCACTTTAAAAAAAAACCTCGACTCACTTACCGTGTATATCACGTTGAACCACAAATGCCTGCCACCAGTAGACAACAGATACACTGAGAAAGGAGAACATTTCGACAATTTTTTATGCACAACTCCGAGAGATCTAGTCAATGAATTTTCTCAACGATATAAGCCCCCTCTATAGTGAGTCTTATTATTGTTATTATCGTTTCTACCGTACGAAGATTTCTTTTGGAAAGGAAAAAGTTAGGAAAATGAATTTCAAAGAGACGAGGGAAGCATTAGAAATCGGCTTGTCGTTGGCGTGGTCGTCACACCGGTATGGATTTTATATGCGGACCCTGTGTTTCCTGATATGTACCTTTTTTTTATTTATCGTTTGAGAGAGCGTGAAAGCCATCCGCGTGAATGTGTGAAGGATATTAAAGAAATAAAAAAGCAAAAAAAAAAAAAGAAACTGATTACACGTTATTACGAGGAAGTAAGCGCAGTGATAGTTACTCAACGTAAGTTACAAAACAATTTAACGATATACATATATAAATATTATAAATAACCATTACCACACACGATAAAGTAATATGGCAAGATATTTTGTGAGTGTGTCTATAAGCTCGATTATAAAAACCTACGTAAAATAAACAGACAGTTTGTCTTCATTCAACGGGATCGAGGATGTTGTTCCCATTAGAGGAAGAGAGATTTTATAATGGTGTGTTGAACTTTTAATGGTCGTCATTCACATGAAATGGCCTTATATTCAGCACTCGGACTCACAACGCATTCAGGGAGAGAAGTGTTGCTATATTAAATGTAGTTTTACTCATCGGACAGTGCGTAGCGCACAGTTGGTCAACCTATGATTCAATGTTTTACCATCGATTCGATTCTATACTTTCACTTTATATACAATTTCGTTTATCGATACGAGAGATGACATATTACGTTGTTCGAATGAATTTTCAGAACTGCGACGAACAAATTTTAGGTACAAACGATGATTATTTTAATACGTTACTCTTTTTTAAAATACTTCGTGCTTGAAATATTCCGGTGACGCATTGGGTTTGCACAAAATATTTCAAGTTCAGTGTCAAATGAAGCAGTTACTAAAAAATAAAAACATATTTTTTCCTGTTTCGATTGGTGACATTTTAACATTATTTTTTTCTTTCAAGTGGGTTGTCAAAATTTCTGTTTAGTATCATGAAAAATTAAATTCAGTAAATCCAAGTGTGACTTTCAAACAATCTAAGGTTATAGAGCAAAAGAACTATGCTTAAGAGTCTAAGATGTAACTTTGCATATGCTTGTAAATAAAGTATAAACATCTTAGTTCTTGCAACTTGTGCTTTTCTGTAACCTTAAACTGCTTGAAGGTCATTATCACTTTTTTATTTGAAGACCTCAGATTTTAAATAAAAAATTCTATTGCACTTGGTAACTATTTTATGTGACACTTAATTTGAATTACCCTACCCATTATCAATTT